GGCAGGTCTCGAACCCGTGGGCTCAGGCAATCCACTCACCTCAGCCTCCCAAGGCGCGGGATTACAGGCTGAGCCACTGAGCCCGGTTCACATTCCTTATAAGGTGCCTTGCGCCATATTTTTTAAATTAAGTTAGATTTAAAAATTTTTTTTTGAGTTGGAGTCTCACTCTATCGCCCAGGCTAGAGTGCAATGGCACGCTCACAGCCACCACAGCCTCAACCTGCTGGACTTAGGAGATCCTTCCGTCTCAGCCTTCTAAGTAGCCAGAACTACAGGGATGCACTATCACACCCAGCTAATTTTTTGATTTATCATAGAGATGAGGTCTCATCATGTTGCCAAGGCTGGTCTTGAGTCCGCAGGCTCAGGCAATCCTCTTGCCTCGGTCTCCCAAAGTGCGGGGATTATAGACTTGAGATACCGCACCCCGCTGCCATCATCTTTTCTAGCCACAGGGTATGGTCTCTGGAGCCAGGCAGACTAGGGTTGAATTCGCCTTTATCCTCTGTGTAGGCTTGCGCACATTATTATGCGTTTCGGACTATGAATAGGTATAAAGCCACCTTCTTTGAAAAGAACCACTGGAGGAATTTATTAGAATATGGATTCCAGCCGGGTGTGGTAGCACACACCTATAATCCCAGTATTTTGAGAGGTGGAGGCAAGAGGAATGCCTGAGTTCAGGGGTTCGAGACCAATCTGAGCAACATGGCGAGAACTCATCGCTACAATAAATCAAAATATTAGCCAGGAGTGGTGGCGTGTGCCTGTGGTTCCAGCTACTTGGAAGGCTGAGGCAGAAGGATCACCTGAACCTAGCAGGTCAAGGCTGCGGTGGCTGTGAGCATGCCACTGCACTCCAGTCAGGGGGACAGAGTAAGACTCTTGACTCAAAAAAAAAAATAAAAATTGTGGCTCCTAGCCTGGCCCCACTCCCAACTGCGATTCAGTAGGTCTAGGTAGTATACAGGGATTCTGTATTATAAACAGATACCTGGGAAATTTTGTGTAGACCTGGGCCTGCAGTTTGAAAAAAATGATGTTAGGGGAATGACTGTAAAGTACCTGTTACATAGACACATTGTGGATATTTAACACATGAAGCCATATTTCTCCAGTCTGAGTGACAGAGTGAGACTCCAACTCAAAAAAAAAAAAGACTTACTTCTTTGGGAGGCTGAGGTGAGAGGATTGCTGTGCCCATGGGTTCAAGACCAGCCTGGGCAACAAGGTGAGACCTTATCTCTACAATAAATAAATTAAAAAAAATAGCCAGGCGTGGTGGTACATGCCTGTAGTTCCAGCTACTTGGAAGGATGAGGCAGAAGGATCACCTGAGCACACCAGGTCAAGGGTGTGGTGGCTGTGAGTGTTGTGGGTGACAACAGAGTGAGACTCCAGTTCGGGCTTGGTGGCTCAGTCTGTAATCCCAGCACTTTGGGAGGCCGAGGTGAGTGGACTGCCTGAGCCCGCGGGTTCGAGACCAGCCCGGACAACTTGGCGAGACCTCATCTCTACAATAAATAAAATAAAATTAGCTGGGTGTCATAGTGCGTGCCTGTAGTTCCAGCTACTTGGAAGGGTGAGGCGGAAGGATCGCTGGAGCCCAGTGGGTCGACCCTGGGGCGGCCGTGAGTGTGCTACTGCCCTCCAGCTTGGGCAACAGAGAGTCCAACTCAAAAAAAAAGACAAGAAAAAAAAGAGAGAGACTCCAACTCAAAAAAAAAAAAGACAGTCTTGCTAGTCTGTTCCCTCTGTTCCACCTAATCTAATCCAAGACCCTGGGTTCCCCCCACCTAACTGACCAACTGCCTCTGGTGCCTCTTCTTCAGCATATCCACAGCCCTCCTTTCACAGGCCCCAAGTGCAGCAGAAGTAGCAGGCACAGCAGGGTGGGCAAAGAGCCTGAATCACACCTCCCCCATAATCTCAGTGTCATCCTGTCTCCATCCACTACTAATATTTTTCTGACCACCCTCTTTGCAGCCCAATTCCAAATAGAACCTACAGTCCTTCACCCTCCTACTGTTTCACACCCTCATTCCCTCCCTTACCCAGTTCAGATTCCATGAGCCAACGTTTGATCACTTCTTGTGTATACTTGGATTTGCTTCTTTTTATTCACTGTTTTATTACCTGGCCAAACTTGAACCCTGGCTAAATCTAACTCCCCATCTGCTCTGTGCCTGTGTGAATATGTGGCTGAACAAAAGCACAAGACTGACGGTCTTACTTAAAATCTATGACCACTAACTCCACGGGCCCTGGGACCACCCAGCAACCCTACTACACCTGGCAGGCTCATCACCTACACTCCACTATCCTACAGGACCATTTCACATTATTCTAAATATTTACTGGGTGGGGTGCTTGATCTCAGTTTCCTAACACTAGAAAAATCACACAACTCTCATAAGGGCTTTTGTGAGGATGCAGTGATATGCATTGTAAATGCTTAGCATAGATCTAGACACACAGAAAGTGCTCAGAGAATGTTACCATTATCATTTCCCCAAAGCAAAGTTCTACCCAAATTTCTTCTCTGATTGAAGTTCTATCATGAAAGAATTATCCCCAATTTACAGAGGAGTAAACAGAGACTTAGAGAAGACCACATGGCTAGAAACAAAGTTGGAATTTGAACCCAGGACTGTCTGAACTCCAAAACCCAAGCCCTTAGCCTCCATTCTCTGCTGCTTTATGGCACCAACTCCAACCTTTTGAATCCAGCTTAAGGTTTTATATTCTTAAGTTCTGGCCGGGCACAGTGGCTCACGCTTGTAATCCCTGCACTTTGGGAGGCTGAGGTGAGAGGACTGCTTGAGCCCAGGGGTTCGAGACCAACCTGGGCAACATTGTGAGATTTCATCTCTACAATAAATCAAAAAATCAGCCATGACAGCCAGCCTCAAGTTCTATTTCTGAGTCAACCTGTCCATCCTTCTTGTACCTCCCTCCCCTGGGAGACAAGGAAAGTGGGCAGTGGTCCCCTTAAATGTACCCAGTGTTCTCTGCTATATGGACTTTGTAGGCCCCCTCAGCCTAGACTACCACTGCCCCACATCTGCCCCAAAGTCTCCAACTCTCCTATATAAGTTCTGTCTCCTTGGTGAAGCACCTGCTGATGCCCAGAGAGTCCTTCTTTGTCTGAACCCCTCCAGCGTGGCCCATCCTGTTTCATGATTCCTCACCAAGACAGTAACTTTTGCCCCTCCCCTCTCAGTGTCTCATAAAGAGCAGGTAGGAGCTCAATGGATGACCTCACTGAATCAGAGTCAGAAGGGAAGCACTGGGTTGGAGAATGAAAACCTGATGGTTTCCATCCGGGAGCAGGGTAGGGGTGGGGTAGGGCCCATGTCTTGTCTACCAGCAAATCAGTCCCTCACTGCATCAGCAGGCCAGGCCTCACCTGCTGGGTAACGTCATGGTTTTGAGTGGTGCTGAGCATTAGCAAAGACAGGAGTGTATGTGTAGGGGGTTGCGGGAGGGTTCTTGTTGACAATCAGCTCCCTGGAGAGGTATTTTTGGGTGTGGCAAAAAGTTGACACCAGGGCTATCTTTGTCCTTTAATTCTTGCAGTTACAGAGGCAGTCCTTCGACAAAAACTCCAAGTCTTCAGTCTAAAATTCCATTATACAGATAAGCTGAAGCTCTATTACTGAAGCTGGGTCATTGTAAGTTCAAGGGTGTTCATTTTATTCTTCTCTGGACTGTATGTATAAGCTTTGCTTATATATCGCCTAATAAAAATGAAGCCAAATGACCTAAGATTACACAGGGGACGGGCATGGTGGCTTATGCCTGTAATCCCAGCACCTTGGGAGGCAGAGGCAAGGATTGCCTGAGCTCAGGGGTTCGAGACTGGTCTGAGCAACATGGCGAGACTTCGTATCTACAATAAATTAAAAAACTAGCTGGGCATGGTGGCGTGTACCTGTGGTTCCAGGTACTTGGGAGGCTGAAGCGGAAGGACTGCCTGAACCCAGCAGGTCGAGGCTGCGGTAGCCATAAGCATGCCACTGTGCTCCAGCCTGGGCAACAGAGAGACTCCGGCTCAAACAAAACAAAACAAAACAAAACAAACAGCACGGGATCTAGCATCAATCTTATTTTGTTGACTCTTAAGACCCCAAGACACATTCTTATTTCAGAGATTATGTGCACCTGAGAACTGATGAAACATGGTAGCAAAACTCAATATATAACAGTTGTCATCATCATTTGTGTCACAAGTGAAAAAAATCTGCTCCCAGGATCCTAACAAGGGACAAGGAAACGAGTCTGCCTTGCAAGGTGGACCTGCCCCCATATAAGCCCCGGGCTTGGACCTCCAGACCTACCTTTCTTTCCATTGTTGGAGGGTGTAGACTTCCCGCTGTCAGAGTTCAGCTCAAACACTCGCAAGTCTGTGGGTACTTCTTCCCTTAGAGTCTCTACTCTGGCTGGAGGCCTGGGCTCTGGGCCGCTGGGATGGGCAGGAGGGGGTAGGGGCTTGGAGTGAACTAGAGGTGGGGGTCCAGTCTCACCCACATCCACAGCCTGGCCCTGTTCCTCCAGAGATGCCTCTAGCAGCTTTTGGGACAGGTCCTTGGGCAGCACTGGTGCCTCGGGTGCAGTGGCAGGGTTAGCAATCTGTGTTACAAGGGAGATGCTCTCACTGCTCTCTGACGGAGTCACCTCTGTTGGGGGCTCAACTGGGGTCACCAGATTCTCTTCACAGGGGTTCTGGAGGTCAGGTCCTCCTTCAGGGAATGTTGAAATTTCAGCCATAGGAACCTTTGCCTCTTTTGGGGATGTGGGTGAAATGCCCACAAGCTCTTCTGTAGAGAGAGAAAGGGGGAAAAGGGTAATGTACTTGGGCCTGCCCAAAACATCCTTGGAGTGCTCAGCTTCTTCCAGTGCTCAGCTTCCTGCCAAAGTTTATTCTGATCAAGACAAGATAGCGCCATATTCCTCACCCCCTTGCTGTCATGGTTCTGCAGATCCTCCCTGCCTACCCCTGGGGCCTAATGCCTGGTGGGCTTACAACAATGCAGTCCAAGGTGGTGTTATATATTAGAAAGCCAAGGATTGAAAATGAGTCACTTTTGGGTTCAGGTCAGGCTCTGCTACATCCTAGGTATATGCCTCATTGGTAAAGGAGGGATAATGAAATTGTGGTAAGGACTCTATGTAGAGCTCTTAGTACAGGCTGGGCACACAGTACAAGCTTAATAAATGTGTTAATACTATATCATCCAGGAGATTTCAGCATGCTGTTCTAGGCTGAGCTACCAGCTAGAGGATGCTCAGTTCCCTCCCTAACTCAGTGGTTCCCAAGCCAGGCTGGGCATTCAAATCACTAGGGAAGTTTGTTAAAAACACACATTTTGGCTGGATGCAGTGGCTCAAGTCTATAATCCTAGCACTTTGGGAGGCCAAGGCGAGAGGACTGCCTGAGACCAGCAGTTCAAGACCAGCCTGGGCAACTTGGTGAGACCTCATCTCTACAAAAAAAAAAAACAAAACCACATTTGGCTGCATCCTTATAGAGTCTTATTTAGAAGGTAGTGAAGGGAATCTGGATTTTCAGTAGGTTCTCCAGTGACTAAGAAGTAAATGATCTATGAGCTAGAAGGGGAATCTGGACCAAGCAGCACATGTGACTTCTGAACTTAAACTCAGGATTCCACCAGTCCTGCTCAACATCCCTTCATTAGCTGTGCCTATACTCAGCACACGCAGTGTGCTCATTCCTCACTCTTCCCTGGGCACCAAGCCTCCAGACTTCAGAGAACATGGCCACAAAAGTCCCCCAAGGACAGGACTTGTCACTTGCCCATCACCTCTTAATACCTCTTACCTTCTTCCTCCTCCCAGCCAGGCTCTTCAGAGATGCTCTGTTCTGCCCGCTGCTTCAGGGCATCCCTCCGGGCCTGCTCCTGAGTATAGGGAAGCAGATGGCCAGGTGAAGCCAGGGCACCCTTTCCCCAGACCCTGGTTCTGATCCTAGAGCACCTGTGCCCCTTTCTTCCCTCCACAAAATCCAGCCTGCTTCCCCCAGGGCTGAGTGGGGACCCCCCTGGGACAGACCAGCATACCTGCTCTAGCTGATGGACTTTATAAAAATACCGATGCCAGAATTCTGAATGGGAAACAGCTGCTGGAACCTGGAAGGAGGCAGAAGTGGAGATGAGACTTTGGGAGTGTTTGTGTGCGTCCCAACCTTATCAGTCTACTCCCAGCCAATCTGGATTTCAGATAGTAGGTGGCTCAGCAATGATTGTGAGAGCACTTCTACCCCACTGAAGTTTCAGCTGGATTCACCTTCTGGGCCCAGTTGGCGAAGGAGGAAGAAAAGAACTCCCACCGGGCTTTGCTGGCCCTTCCATTTCTTACCATTCTCTGACTGCCAGAAGCCTGGCCAATCAGCTTCTCCCATGCAGCTCAGGATATGGCTGGTCTGGTTCTACAAGGTCTCCCACTGTTTCTGGACCAGAGGACTCCACATGACTCTGGTTATGTCCCTCCCACCTCCCACCACCTCAAGCCTGAAGCTGGCTGAGGTCCTGCAGGCTGGGCCCTCACCATCTTGGTGTAGAGGGCCCGGATGGAGGGGCTGCCTACAAGGAGCTCTGAGATCTCCCCCTTCTTCTCCTCCAAGCAGAACTGGGAAAGCCAGGCATCAAACAATTCCGGGGGCCCTGCAGAGGGACAGACGCTGATGGTCAGTTCCCTTGGTCTAGGGAAAAACACTGGGCTTATAGAACATACTTAAGCCTAGACACAGACAATGAGGAAAGCTTAAGGGTTTTTCAAAGCCATTTGGTTCAAATTGGGGGTCAAGCAGAGTGAAGGGGTGGTAGGCCTCATTGAGATCAGGGTGTGGCACGTAAGTGAACTCCAGAAGGGGCTGCGATCTCCATTCTCTCATATCCCTGCTCACTTTTTAGCCCACTGCACTTGGCTACTGAATCTGCTTCCCTCTGAAACAGTTGTTTTCAGGTCACATGAACTCAACTACCAGAGCCAATGGCTACTTCTCTGTCTTCCCTCTTGTGATCACCCTACCGTTTTTGGCCCTGGGAGCCACTGCTTTCTTCTTGAAGCTCTCTTTTCTCCTGGCTTCTCACTCTGGTTATCTTCCTCCTACTTCTTGGCTGTTCCGTCTGTGTCTTTGTGGGCTCTTCATTTTCCTTTCTTTTCCTTATCTCTTCTCACTTTGTTTTTTTCTCAAGATTCCCTCCACAAAACCGTGGGTTTCAACCTCCTCCTTCCACTGATAATTCCTATGTCTCTCCTGTAGCTCAGACTACCCTTCTGGACTCCAGATTCAAAGGTCCAGGTATCCTGTGGATACTTCCACCTACACAGTTACTACAGACATTGTGTGCTCATTTTTCTTCCCACCAGCTATCCACTGGACACCCAGGGCCATCCTATCTCCTGCCTTATCCAATCACTTTGGCCTCCATACCTCAGTGTTTCTTGTATGCGTACCTTCTTCTTCATCCCAACACCGTCTCCAAGGTTCTGGCCTCAGCTCTGACATGGGAATTCCCACCCAGTCTCCTAACTGTCTTCCTGTCTTCTGTCTCTCCCCCTCTATTTGATCCTTTTCAACACTACCCCAAGGGCTGCTTTACAAAAGGTGATCACTTCAGGCCTCAAAACCCTTCAATAGATCTCTATAAGAGGGCTTTTCAAGCTAGGGTCCACATGGGTTTAAAAGGGCCACAGAATTCCCATATTGCACACAGCAATTTGTGGAGAGAGGGCTTGTCATTTTCAAGAGATTTTTTAAGGCCTCTGTGACTAAAAGGAGGTGTAGAACTACTACTATGAGCCTTTTAGAAGGAATTTCAGCTGCTTGGTCTGGCACACAAAGCCTGGCACACTCTGGTTCCCACCAGCAGCTCTTGCTGCCTTCATTCCCTCACACACCACGCTTTAATACAGCGTCACCGAAGGGCTGGGTTCTCCCTGCTTTCTCAGCCTTCAAATATACTGTTATCTTTGCTTGAATGCCCTGCCTCACTTGTAAAAGTAAAACTAGTTTCCTTCCAATTTATCCTTACAACCTCAATTCAAGCATCACTTCCTAGGTGCCCAGGCTGGGTCAAGTGCATCGCTCTGGGCTCCCACTGCCTCTCCATCTGTGGAGACAGGCATCCATCCCACTCTTTACCACCTTTGCTTTATTCACTGTTTCCTGTTTCTCCCTCTTAACAGTCAGTTCCCAGAGGGATGGACAGGATTGAGGGTTTGGCTAAATTCTGAGCTCAGCTGGGTGCGGTGGCTCACACCTGTAATCCCAGCACTTTGGAAGGTGGAGGTGAGAGGGACTGCCTGAGTCCAGGGGTTTGAGATCAACCTGGGCAACTTAGCGAGACTGTGTCTCTACAATAAACAAAAAAATTAGCCAGGCATGGTGGTGCATGCCTATAGTGTCAGCTACTTGGAAGGCTAAGGCAGAAGGATCACTTGAGCCCAGCTGGCCTAGAATGCAGTGGCTATGAGTGTGCCACTGCACTTCAGCCTGGGTGACACAGTGAGACTTCTACTCAAAAAAAAAAAAAAAAAAAATCTGAGCTCAGCTCCAGTTCCCAGCACGAGGCCTGCTGCATGGCAGGGACTCAGCAAACAGAAGCTGAAGGGAAGGCAAGCAGGGCAGCGAGGCTGAGAGGGAGGCTGAGATGAGAAGATGAAGGATGAGGGGGGCAAAGTCTCTGCAGTGGGGGGTAACGATAGCTCGGGTTCAGGGAGGAAAAGAGAACAAGAGAACATTAACCCATCCCATAGGGTGTAAGGTACACACCAGCCCCACTGTGGTGCCTCTACATAGGAGGGTGCCCCGCCTCTGCTACCTGAGACAAACAGAGCCCATAGCCCAGATCCTTTTGGTCCACATGCTCAATAAGCCCATCCCCTCACTGCTACCCTCTCACCATCTGGTTCATTGCAGTAGGTTGCTGGGTCTGACTGCAGGCTATAAAGGCGAGCCTGTAAGAAAAAGAACAGAAATTCTGAAGTGCCAGGTACAGAAAGTACCTTTTCTCTGCCAGGGTGCCCAACCAACCACAACCCAGATTCTCCCCTGTTGACTACCATACCCACAAGACACTTATCAATTAACACTGTGGCACACAGGCAGTGGAGCACTGGGCTATGAGTCCAAAACTGAGGCTCCCAGAAAAATGGTCTGTCACTCAGGGAACTAAGGAAATAAAATGTAAACAGGCTACAAAATTATATTTATAAAATGCTTTTGAAGTACGTAAAATCTGAAAAATGTTGGTGCCAATGTGTTAATAAAGTCCACATTTGGGGCAAATTTAGAAATGATGCAGTACCTCCAAATTAAAAATCATTCATCAAAACTTTAATTTTAAGCTGGGCTCAGTGACTCAGCCTGTAATCCCGCGCCTTGGGAGGCTGAGGTGAGTGGACTGCCTGAGCCCGCGGGTTCATGACCTACCTGGGCAACTTGGCGAGACCTCATCTCTACAATAAATAAAAAAATTAGCCGGGTGTGGTAATGCGCGCCTGTAGTTCCGGTTACTTGGAAGGCTGAGGCGGAAGGATTGCTGGAGCCCAGCAGATTGAGGCTGTGGTGGCCGGGAGCGGCCACTGCACTCTAGTCTGGGCGACAGAGTGAGACTCCAACTCAAAAAAAAAAACCAAAAACAAAAACAAAAAAACTTTAATTTTAGAACCAGTCTGCCAAATGATCTGTCAACTGTATTCCCACCTGGGTCACATAGTGGCAAATTTTAGCTGGTAAACAGCCCACTTTCCTTTCTCGATATTGTATGAAGCATGGGCTGTCTGTCTGCACCAGAACTTCAGCAAGTGGTTTTGGTGATAATTAACTGTCATCATAACTTAAAATCCATCTTTTGGCTGGGCTCGGTGGCTTAGCCAGTAATTCCAGCACTTTGGAAGGCTGAGGAGAATGGATTGCCTGACTCACCCAGGCAACTTGGCGAGACCTTATCTCTACAATAAATCAAATTAGCCAGGCACGGTGGCACGTGCCTGTAGTTCCAACTACTAGGAAGGCTGAGGTGGAAGGATCACATGAGCCCAGCAGGTCAAGGCTGTGGTGGCTGGGAGCTTGCCACTGCACTCCAGCCTAGGCGATGGAGTGAGACTCCAACTCAAGGAAAAAAAAAAAATTCCATCTTTTAAACATTTTCACAATTCTACTCACAAGCTCACTAAGTGGTGGCACTAATACTAGTGCTGAAACACATGCTTGAAGATCAGAACATTTGGAATGAAAATTCAATGTGATAAAATGCTATCGAGATGTCCCAACTGCTATGATACCACACTGTGGATTTAGAAGAAAACACCACATGAAATAGAAAATGAAATGCAGGAGAAATACACTACCATGGTTGTTAATTTAAGTGTTCTGAAGACACTCCCACCCCCACCTAGACACTTCTTCCCATTGGAAATCAGTCTTAAATAATTCAAATGTGGAGAAGATGATGCCTCCAGAGATGTTCTCCATAGCGGTTCTTATTAGAGTTGAAAAGTGAAAGGAATCCAAGTGTGCAACTCTAGGGAAATAACTGAATAAATGATGCTATATACACTTGCAAGAATTTTTTTTTTTTTTTTTTGAGTTGGAGTCTCACTCTGTTGTCCAGACTGGAGTGCAGTGGCCATTCCCGGCCACCGCAGCCTCAACCTGCTGGGCTCTGGCGATCCTTCCGCCTCAGCCTTCCAGGCAGCTGGAATTACAGGTATACACTACCACACCTGGCTAATTTTTTGATTTATTGTAGAGATAAGGTCTCACCAAGTTGCCCAGGTGAGTCTTGAACCCATGGGCTCAGGCAATCCACTCACCTCAGCCTCCCAAGGCGCAGGATTACAGGCTGAGCCACCAAGCCCGGCTGCAAGAATTTTAAGACATTAAAAATGGTAGTAATTAGGAAAGATGCCAATAGTCTGTTGTAAATGTTTTTAAGGAAGGGTACAAAATTATATGCACAAAGTGCCTTTTTTGTTAAAAAGAAAAGAACCCAAATAATGTTTACAAAAAGAAATGGAAGATTATATACCAATGAGAAATCAGGGTTCTCTTTGGATGACAGGATTATGGGTTTGGAAATAATTACCTTCTCCTTGCTGCTCCAATTTATACACTTATGTTTATTTTTTGGCTTGAACATGTGCTGCTTTTGTGAGCACAAGTTGGAAGCTAAAGCTTAGTGCTGTAGGGCATCTGCAGGGGAGGCTGCCAGTGAATACCTTGGTGCCATCGTAGGGCTCAGCTGTGCCAGAGGGCGTGCCCATCAGGGTGATAACATCGCAGTCAATGGTTTTGTCTGGTGAGGGGGCGAAGGTATCTGAGATCACCCCTAGGAAGTCAGACAACCCCTTCTTCATTTTCTCTGTTGCACCCGAGGAGCCTTCAGTCTGCAGAGAGAACGGGAAGAGGAGGCAAGTGCCCTGAGAACAGGTTGCAATCTGGGGAATAGGGGTTGAAGCACTGGGACAAAGGTGTACTGTGTGTGGGAGGACTAGGGAAGTGCTCATGACCCTTCACCCCATCTCTGGGGCTGAAGAAGGAGAGGGAGGCAGTGAGGGTCCTCCCCTCACCAAGTGGGGATGCAGAACTGGGCTGTGGTGGGTCTGTGCAGATCACAGTAGAGATCCTTGACTGGCTGTTTCGTCAACATTTCAAGGCCAGTCAGGCTGATAAAAAATTGGCAGGAGAGGACCCACACCATAGACACTTCAGTGGAGAAGAGGGCCTATGGGTAGAGTGGGGAAAAAGTACTGGCTTTGAGTTAGACATAGATTTGAATGCCCGCTCTATCACTTGTTGGTCCTGAGACCTATACCCTCTCTGAATCTGTTTCCTTATCTGTAACATGCAACTATACACACAACTTTCACAGCATTATATGAAGATTAAAACATAAAACATTTACAATGCTGACACACAGCAAACAATAAGCACTACAATATTACAATTTCTTTTTCTTTTTTGAGACCAGGTCTCATCATGTTGCTCAGGCTGGTCTCAAACACCTGAGCTGAGGTAATCCTCTTGCCTCCACCTCCCAAAGTGCTGGGATTACAGGCGTGAGCCACTGCACCTGGCCCAGTATTACAATTTCATCACCATCATTGCACAGAAAGTAGAACACTTTACACAAAAGGCTGGGAAAATATGGCAGGATGAGAATAGATAGTCTTGCCTTGCCTGGGACCAGTCGAGGGTCAACATATTGACCATCCAGCAGGTAGGGATGAAGTGCTGAGAGACAAGGCCAGACTCTAAAAATCTAGTGGAAAACTGTAATATTTACTCTTTTTTTTTCTTTAAACAGGGTCTTGGTCTGTCGCCCAGGCTGTAGTACAGTGGTACAATCATATCTCATGGCAGTCTTGAACTCCAAGGCTCAAGTAATATTTCTGCCTCAGCTTCCCAAGTAGCTGGATTACAGGCATGTACCACCACACAAGCCTAACTTTTTTGTAGTGACAGGGTCTTGCTATGTTGACCAAGCTGGTCTTGAACCCCTAGCTTCAAGCAACCCTCCCATTTTGGCCTCCCAAAGTGCTGGGATTCTAGGCATCACACGCCCAGTCCCTTTCAATATTTTACTATAAAAACAACTTTTTTTGGGGGGCGGGGTTTGAGTTGGAGTCTCACTCCGTCACCCAGACTGGAGAGCAGTGGCCGCTCCCTGCCACTGCAGCCTTGACCTGCTGGGCTCCGGCAATCCTTCCACCTCAGCCTTCCA